TAAGCGTTAAAAAAGCGGGAGGCGCCAAAAAGCGACTAATTTGCATCATTGACACACACACACACACACACACACACACACACACACACACACACACACACACACACACACTTTCTCTCTCTCTCAAACACAAGCACACACACACACCCACCCACTAACACACACACACACACACACACACACACACACACACACACACACAAAACAGAAACAAAACGATTGTATAATGCAACAATTATTTACTTTTGGAAAGAGAAAAGACTTGCAGATTACATTATTGAAGTCCCTTAGTACAGAAATGTATACAGTGCCCATGTATCGGATTGTATGATGTTTAGGATTTACATTCTCTGTGTAATTGTCACCTTTATGTGAACATACTGAAAATAGTCAATTTAAATAAAAAAACATTCCAAACTTGAGGGAAAATGTACTAGTTGGTCTACATGAATACAAAAAAAACATTTCAGTTACAATAGACAGCAAAAAGAGCCTTGTTACACAAGCTTGTATTGGACATATATCATAGTTATGTATAGATCAGAGGAGCGTTTTACTCACAAGTGCAGGATGTTTTTCTAAAAGCACTTGAAAAACAGCATTGCAGGAACAATCTCCATAAATGATGTGTTGCATAACTGCTTCAAAAACTCTCATCCTTAAACATTAACATACAAATGCTCTGCTAAATAGGATGCAGTACACCCTGAATGATGTCATTTCCCATATAATATCTTTGTTCTGCTGCCTCCTCTCCTTCAGTGTGGGTGTCCTGGTGGGTCGTCAGGGTGCTCTCTTGTTCAAAGCTCTCTCCACAGGTGGGGCAGGTGTACCCAGGGTGGTGATCCCTGGCCATGTGAGCTTTTAGCTGCTCAGGCCGAGCGTAGCTCTCTTCACACTCTGAGCATGTGTGAGCATTGCCAGAGGGAGGCCCATGTGCTTCACTTTTGTGCGCCCGCAGGGCTGCAACAGAAGGGAATATTAGGTCACAATTTGCCTCGGAACAAGGAATCTTGAGCTCCGGTTGCAGCTCAGTAGAGGGGCAATCCTCTGTTGAAGAGTCATTGTCTTCTTCGCATTCCCTTGCTTCCTCTTCTTGTTTGATCTTCTTGCTCTCAACCATCTCTCCTTGAGTAGCGTTCTTGGGTTTTCGACCACGTTTTTTGGCTTGCGGCTTCACGTCACAATTTATATCATTGGCAAATCTCTCTTGATGCTCCAGGAGCTCTTCTTCTGTCAGGAAACCACTACTACATTTGCAGCATTGATAGGTGTGGATGTCATCAGCCACCATGGGGTTCTGAGGGTGCACTGCCAGGCGATGGTTGCGAAGCCGTGAAGGGCTGGGGAACAAGGCGCCACAGTCTCGGCAGGGACAGCGTCGTTCGATGCAGTCATGTCGTCTGTGTTTGTTCAGCTGAAACACATTAACCATTCGTCATACACAATCAACAACTATTTTATCAGTTCCCAAGCACAAGAAAATTGGTTAACATGTGGCCAGCTGCATCCTCACCTCAGTGAAGGTAAAGAAGTTCTTCTGGCAGTATGCACAAAGGAAGGGTTTCTCCTCTGTGCTGTGTGTGGCCTGGTGTTGGCTGAGCTCCTCAGAGAAGGGGAAGCTCTTGTCACACTTATAGCAAGTAAAGACTGTATCGGTCTGCAAAATGATGAGAAGAAAAGGTGTAATCAATCACAAATCAAAGCTTGATTCAGCAGTTTTATAAAAAAAGAAAAGAAATGGGCTAATCTTGAAGAAAATCATTTTTTTTTTTCAGATATTCTCAAAACAAGTTACATCATCACTCCCAAAATGACATTGTGTAGAAAAAAAGACACAATTATGAACAATATCTGCACAGCCTGATTGACAAATCAGCATGGCCAATATTGGCATATTGGTATAAATCCATGTGCCAGGGGGTAAGATCATGTCTCAAAGTAATTTGTTGTATAAGGAATAGTATTCAAAATAATATAATATAGCACTGCAGCAATGTTAGCTTTTTATATGCTATCATTCCTTTCATTCCTCCATCATTACAACTATTTCTTTTTAAAAAAAATCATTTTTCAAAAAGCCAGTACAAAAGAGTGTTGCAAAGAACATCATGAAGTCATATATCAGTGCAAAGCTTAGACTGTAATCAATCCAGCAGTAACTGTGGACAACATGATTTGAACTTTGACGCTGCAAAAGAAGCACATGTGCTGCACATATTCTTATCATTTATTAATTGTAATAATTGTGAGCAATTTTAGAGAGAATGTTCAAAATATTGCATTGGAAATTCGCATTTTCAGTTTTTCTCATATTCAATGGAAGAGAAGATAATGGACATGTTTCTCAGTCTTTTCCCTACCTGCTGTAGGTGCTGCTTGTACTGGTCCCGATGACTCTTCCTCATGTGTCTCTCCTTTGCTTTGGAATTAGTGAAGGTGATGAAGCACTGAAAGCACTGTAGACTCTCATGCTGATCTGTATCCCAACGAAATGAATTAGGTTAACTGGCAGCCTCTTATCGAGTATGAACTGTGCAATTAAATGTTATCTTACAGGACTGCAGAGGGGCGACCACGGGCTCAGACTTGATCTCCGCTGAGGTGGATCTATTGTCACTGCCAACGGCGACTTGCTCTATCTTCAACATTGCCATGCTTCTTTCAGACACAACTCTGTCACATGTAGCTGTAACATAGGAACACTCAGCAGTGGTTTCCACAACGAACATGCATTCTTCATGTAACATAACAGCAAATGACTGCAGTGAGGCTAGCGTGGAGATAACCCGCGTTGAGGTATCATCGGGATGCTTCACATTGTTATTTAATTACTGGAGAGTGGGAACATTTCTACATTTGAAATATGTTGTAAACTAGATACAAATCTAATGAGGAGCTGCGTTTTCGTGGTATACAATAAAGACGAAAAAAATAGCTAACAGTGGCTATTGACAGGACAGAGGCATGGTTACTGATACCACTGAAAACGAGACGGTTGTGCTAATATATTTTCAATAGTGCCGCCATGTGCATACTTTCGCGTGTAAATTACAATTTGAAAGCTGCAGAAATATGATAAATTGTGTATAATTTTGAAATAAGTCTTTGTAAACAATTCAAAAAGGCATCTATTTCTTACCGCAAGATACATCCACCGAGATGAAGCAGCAGTGAGTGTTCTGCCCCAGTCACGTGAGGTGGATGTGGCTGCCGACCACGGAGCTATCGCGAGATTTTCAAATTGTAGTTTTAGGTTTGTAGAGTGTCTTTTAATCGAGTTACAGTATTTTATACATTAAGATAAGATAAGAAGTACTTTATTGATCCCAATTTGGGAAATGTTTGTGTTGCAGCAGCATAAAAAGACATGGCATTGTACAATAAAAATTAAAAGACTAGAAATAAACAAGAAACCAGGAAATATACATGTTGAATTACAAAATGTACAGTAATGTAAAGCAAGTTATTATAAATACATGTATGTGAGGCATGGAATATTAAAAGTTAAATTGAACACAAATGTAAAATGTACAGTGTGTGCCAGCAAGAGGTGATTTGTTATATTGAGTTATTGCAGTGGGCAGGGATGTTTTCCTGTATCGGTCCTTTTGACAGCGGAGCTGCAGCAGTCTGTTGGAGAAGGAGCTCCTGTCTGTCCAGCTGCCGGTGGAGAGGATGGGCGGGGTTATCTATGATGGACAACAGCCTGTTCAGTGTCCTCCAATCCACCACAGCTTCAAAGGGGTCCAGTTTAATGCCGATGACAGACCCAGCTTTCCTGATCAGTTTATTGGTTCTGCTGGTGTCCCCGGCTCTGATGCTGCCCCCCCAGCAGACCGCAGCAAAGAAGAGTGCACTGGCAACAACAGACTGGTAGAAGATCTTGAACATCTTGCTGCACACGTTGAAGGATCTCAGCTTCCTCAGAAAATAGAGTCTGCTCATCCCCTTCTTGTACACAGCGTCAGTGTTGATCCTCCAGTTCAGTCCACCATCTAAGTGCACCCCCAGGTACTTGAAATCCTCCACAACAGCTTCAAGACAGTTTCAAGACATATTTATAAGTGTTTACCCCTGGTTGTGTTGAACATCTGTAACTTAATACATATTAAGTGTGTGCTGTTCTGTTCATTTGTAAACATTGAAAACAAGCGAAAAGGGAGCTAAGGAATACCAAAAAACATTTATATTACAACTCTGGTGCTTTAGTTTTTGGTGGGAATAATTATAAAAAAAAACTGTTTACTGAAATTACTTGAGTTAAGGAGGTTTCTAATTTCCACAATATTATACAAGTAAAACATTTTTTTAATACCCTAAAAATTACAAAGACACAAAGTCTAGTTTAAGGTTCATAGAATTTTATTGGTATTTTCACCACACAAGGCAGACACATCAATGCAAAATGTGATGAGGTGATAAGACGGCACATTATCGCTTTAAATAGTTTGTGAATTACAGAAGCACAGGGTTAAGGGCAAAAAAGGCAAAATAATGAGCTAAAGGAGTTATAGGAGCAATTTAAGCTCTGGCCTGCTGCTGCTGCTGCTGCTGCTGCTGCTGCTGCTGCTGCTGTTGCTGGTGTTCAGCAATTCGGCTTTCCATCACAGGCCTGAAGTGCCTGATCAATCCCTGAGAACAAGGTAAAGAGCAACAAAGGAAGAAAGTAAATTAATAAAGAAGAACAAGAACAGCTCTACAACAAATATGTCAGTTTATTTACAAAAAACTGTGCAAGTCTTAATTCCTAAGTGTTAAAAGTTGAATGTTCAGCTTGAAAATAAAAAGACACATGACAGAGGCACTCCTGTTTACATATATATTGACATATTCAGTTTTTGTTAATTCAATAGTAATTTTGTCTGCTGTCAATAGGGATGATTTTCAATGTATTACAATTCAATTTAATAACACCAAATACTGCAGCCTGCAAAAGGTCAACCTATTAATATCCCTAGAGTCCCACATTGAATCCATCAATGATCGTCTTAGCATGCCCTTTGCATTATGACAGTAAATGTGTTTACCTGCACTGGCCAAGCCGCACCATCTCCCAGGGCACAGATAGTGTGTCCCTCAATCTGCTTACTGAGCTCCCAAATCATGTCGATCTCTGCTGGCCGTGCATTACCACTCACAAAACGCCACATCATGTTATTCATCCAGTCCACTCCTACAGACACACACACACGAAAGAGACATTTAGAAGTTTGTTGATGGTATTAAAAGACATTGGTGACAACTAATGTGTGTCATTTCAAAGTGGTAGTTCAGATTTTCTTAATAAGGGTTTTTGTGAATAGAAGTGTGCATGGCCTCAGTTTGGAGAAACAGATGGGATTATGGGCACAGAAGCTAATCAATGTACTGTACTTCTGTGGAAAGGTAGTAGTTAAATGTATTTTAACCACCTAAAAACATTTTTATTTATTTATTCATAGATCACAGAAGTTACTGTGCTACTACCACTGCCTCAATCTGGTGGTTTGTTTGTGTTACTCTATGACGATAGGGATACAAGTGCTGGATCAGATCCATCATAGGCACAAAATAACACCAACAAATCAGATAGATTCAGTGGAAGTTCAGAACATCCTGTTTTCTGCAATGTGAAGTTACAGTTTAAAAAAAAAAAGGAGTCTGATGGGTTTGGAAAACATAGACAACAGCGTCAGTTCCCCGTCGGACAAGCACCATCCAGCGGCAAGGTAAGCAGTGAAAATATTAAACATATACCATACCCTTGAAAAGATAATAATTTAGGTAGATGGGACTTTCTTTTAGTTGGTTGCGTATGGATAAGTGCCACATACAGCCATACTTCGAAAATCTGAACTGGCACAGCACTTACCTTCTCTGCAGGGCGTGCACTGGCCACAGCTCTCATGCTTGTAGAACTCAATCAGGCGGGCGATAGCTCTAATGATGTCAGTCTGGAAAAAACAAAGCACCCAATGTAAGAGATGTTTGATGATTTCTTTATGCATGATGTATTATGTAGCGGAGTTGAAAAAACGTACAGATTTGTCCATAACGATGATTGCAGCGGTGCCCAGGCCAGTCTGAGCCTGGAGGAGACCGTCAAAGTCCATCAGCACCTCTGCACAGACGTCCTTGGGAATAAGGGGGGTGGAGGAGCCACCGGGGATAACAGCTAGCAGGTTGTCCCAACCTCCACGCACACCACCTACCAGACGGATGGTCGTAAAAAAAACGTTTAAAACTGAGTGTGTTTACTTTAAGCCATCTTAATCATTTTGTAGTAGGACCCCATCAATGCAGATAAACCAATTATGCATTTAAGTTTAACTTTCAAATGTTTACAACCAAAATCTAACTTATGTCATTAAAGAGATCTCAATAATATGAGTCAAGTAGGATCATTGATACATTTTGTGTCATATTTAGCGTTAAACACTCGACCATCGTTCCTGTCCCCAAAAAGACAAAAATCACCAGCCTCAACGACTACCGCCCAGTAGCACTCACCTCCATCATAATGAAGTGCTTTGAGCGGTTAGTCAAATCATTCATCACCTCCTCCCTCCCTGACTCTCTGGACCCCCTGCAGTTTGCCTACAGAGCAAACAGGTCCACAGACGACGCCATAGCCCTCACCATCCACACTGCCCTCTCACACCTGGACCAGAGGAACACATATGTGAGAATGCTGTTCATTGATTACAGTTCAGCATTCAATACCATTGTGCCCTCCAAGCTGGTCATCAAGCTCAGAGACCTCCGGCTCAACAGCGCCCTATGTGACTGGATCCTGAACTTCCTGACGGGCAGACCCCAGGCAGTGCGGGTGGGAAACATCACATCCTCCACCCTGATCCTCAACACCGGAGCCCCTCAAGGCTGCGTGCTCAGCCCTCTCCTCTACTCCCTGTTCACTCACGACTGCGTGGCCAGACACAGCTCCAACACCATCGTGAAGTTTGCTGACGACACGACCGTCGTCGGCCAGATCACAGACGGCGACGAGACGGCGTACAGAGAGGAGGTCGGAAACCTGACATCTTGGTGCCAGGATAACAACCTCCATCTCAACGTCAGCAAAAC